AAAAAAAATAATTTCACTGGGGGCTCGCACAACTCTTCTCACCATCCATCCATCCATCCATCCATCCATCCATCCATCCATCCATCCATCCATTGTGTCAAGCACATGTGTACTGGGTCAACAGAGTGTAATGGAAAGACTATGTCAACCCCAGACAGTGATGGTCAAAGTCATCACAGCAGAGCTGACTGCTCCCAGGCCTCCCTCCACCACCTGGGCTCCCTCATTTTGATTGTATTACCCAAGTGGCTAAAGCAACTCAGCCACTGGCTCAGCCTCCGGCTGGGTCTCAAGGCAAGCCCCTTGTCCTCCCTCCTTCCCCTCCTGGCTTCTTTCCTTCCTTTCTTTTGAGGCTCAAATCCCCTCAGTATTAGATTCCGCTAAGACAAAGGAGTACGTCCTGGGTGAGTGGGCACGAATGATTCTTGTCCTGCTGTGCCCCTGGTCACGACTTTCCAAAGTCTCCCTTGCAATTGCTCGGTCCAGGAGTTATGTGAGGAGCTTCGAGATCCTCTCTCCGAAATAGCTGAAAACCTTCCATAATGCCGATGGAGAGGGGACAGTCACATGGGGTTTCTCCAAGTCACACCCAGCTGGAGGCTTGGAGGTGGCTGCTTTCATGTGCTTGTGCAAAGATCTCCGAGGGGAGGGGGCCAAGGTACTGTCCGGCTGAGATCATAAGGAAACCAGGGAGAGCTCTTTCTCTCTGTCTGTCTGTCTGTCTGTCTCTGTCTCTGACCCAAGCATACACAGCCATCAAGTCAATTCTGACTCCTGGCAAGCCTGTAGGACAAGGTCGAACTGCCCCCGTGGGTGTCCGAGGCTGGAACTTTATGGGAGCAGAGAGCCTTGTCTTTTTCGGCAGGAGCGGCAAGTGGTTTCTTACAGGTGACCTGGTGTAACCACTACCCGACCAGGGCTCCTGCACCAAGCTTTAGGAGGAATCGATTTTAAGTTTCCTTCTAAGAGCTTGTGGGTACCGGCCTTGGCTGGATGGAGCACTCTGGCCATATGCTTCTTCTACGACAGACTGGTTTGCCCTTTTAGCCGTCCATGGTACTTGCAGTGTGCTTCTCCAGCACCACAATTCAAATGCACCAATTCTTCCTCAGTCTTCCTTATTCAATGCCCAACTGTCACATGCTTAGGAGGCAATGGAGAATCCCATGGCTTGTGTCGGGCACACCTTAGTCCTCAGAATAACATCTTTGCTTTTCAATATTCGAAAGGGGTCGCGTGCAGCAGATTCACCCGTGCAATGTGTCTTTTGATTTCTTGACTGCTGCTTCCATGAGCACTGATTGTGGATGCAAGGCAAGACAAAACCCCTAGACAGCTTCAACCTTTCCTCCGTGTATGACGCTGCTATCTATTGGCCTACACGTTGGTCAAAAATCCCCTCAAACTCAACTGCCATCGAGTTGATTCTGACTCATAGCCAGTGTGAATCGTTGGAGCTACCCAGGGACTTTAGAGGGTGGGCGCATGGCATCATAGGGAAAGGAAAAGGTCCTTTTCCTTTGATTTGAATGCAGTGATTTGAATGCAGATTCTGATGTTACTAGTGACCGTCTGACTCTGTTACTGCCTCTCAGCTCCTACTACCTGCCTGCCTGATACTAACTACCTGTCTGACCTCAGAGAAAGGCCTCACTTAGACAATGACACCATGCTTTAATTATGATCTCATCAAGCCCTGGAACCTGATTTGCATTGTTTTGCTGCCTCCAAACTACTGCATTTTTGTCTCATCGATTTGCCTATCATTTTGCTATTTCTATAAACCTAATTTTCATCAATTTGCATGATAATGGAATGAAGGACCACTCATCTTTCTACCTATTTACATTTTTTATTCTGAGGAAATTTTCACATGTATGACAATACTTCAAATAATATAATAAAACCCCGTGTACCCACTGCACTACCTTAAAAGCTACTGATCTATAGCCACTTCCCCAATGACTGAAATAGCAATTTATAAATGATTCCTTAAATAGATCAGTCAGGGAAAGATTACCCAGAACCAAGTTATACAGTACAAAAGCTTCCCCCCACTTCGCCCCCACCCCCACCACTGTGGTGTTTTAGAACCGATTTTTGAGCCTGAGGTAATGGGAAAAACGGGAGGTGAAGGGCATGCACATTGAGCTCATCCAAGGCCAAATGGTGTTATTTAATTGTTGCAAACTATGAATGAAATGAGCCCTGTTGTTGAAGTGGGTTAAGCGCTGCACCGATGACCACGGGGTTGCCGATTGGACCCCACCAGCCATTCTCAGGGAGGAAGATGGGGCAGTCTGCTTCTGTAAAGACTCTGCCTTGCAAACTCGATGGGGCAGTTCTGCTCTATCCAACACGGTCACCGTGAGCTAGAGCAGCCCCCACGGCAGTGGGTTGGTTTCTCCTTTTGCTTTCCACTTACTGTGGTGCAGGGGACACTAACAGGCTTCGCCCTGTCCGGCTGGCCAGACAGCTGTGAGGAGCCAATGAACAGTATCAAGATTGGCATAGGGGGGTGGGGCTCTCATCACACGCGGTTCAGACAAACCAAAGGAGACAACGATGGTAACACAGTCCGTAGCCGGTTCCCAACGTGCTGGTGGAATCCAAAGACTCGCTAAATCAGACGTCACAACATTACCTCGTATCCTTTCACGCTGTCGCCCAGAGCTTCCACGATCCCAGAGCACTCAAATCCGGGCACCAGAGGCGTCTTGGGAGGGTTATCAATATTCCCCTGTCGCACCATCAAGTCAATGAAGTTTAAGCCACTGTGGACGGAAGTGCAGGGAAAGAGAAAGTCAAGGTGAGATCCAAATGAGAGCCCCTGGTTTGACTTTCATCTCCCTTCCCTTGTTCTTTTCTCCCTCCCTCTCTCCCTCTCCCCTCTCCGCATCCCTCCCTTCCTTCCCACCTTTCTGACCACGTGTAGTTAATGAAGCAGTTAATGAATACACCACCAGATGCCACCAATGTATCAAAACTCAATTATCTTTTGGCAGAGGAGGCTTAGGGGCGGGGGCAGTAGAAGTAGCAGTTACAGAGTTACACTCTTTCATTCCAAAGACAGTCCCGGAATCGCATCTCCAGGCTGGCTACAGTTGGTTTATGAACACCCACTGACTACACTTGGTCATTACAGATTGCAGCATTTAGTCAAAGGTAAATTCAAAGTCACCGCCATCGAAATGATTCAAATTCACAGTGACCCATAACACAGGTAGGGCTGCCCTTGTGAGCTTCCAAGGCTGTCAACCTGAGTGGGGGCAGACAGTCTTATCTTTCTCCCTGGGAGCGGCTGGTGGTTTCGATCCGCTGACCTGGCAGGTTAGAAACCCCATGAGTAACCCACTCCACCACCAGGGCTCTTTGGGTGGAGTTGAAGGTAGAAAAGTACAACTTAGGAAGAGTAGGGATAAGCAGACATGTGGAAAGCAGTCAGACACAGTCTATGAGAGAGGGGTCGGGGGAGAGAATATCAAATTTAAAAGGTCTCAAAACAATTGACCAACCACCATATCTCATTCCTTGCACACACATATGCCAGCGCTGGCCCATAAGTGCCCCCCACAAGAGTGGCTATGAGCCACCAATAGATTATCCTACATCCAGCTAGAGGAGGAAGACTCCACGGGAAGAAATGGCCCAATAGAGATGTCCTATAGAATATTTATCTTTGCTATTAGGCATTTTCTACGAACACACTACTTCTGAAATAAAAAGTTAATAAAAGATATCAAAGGCATCATGTTGGAAGGCCAAACGCTTGATTCCGAAGATGCTGGCAACAGTCTAAAACAGTTTCATTTTTGAACTACTCTTAGGAAAAGCACTTATCGCCCACCCACCAATCACATGAGAAAACACATTCCATTGAACAACCTTTCTTTTTTTTTCCCCCACCTAATGTGGTTCATGCATGACTTCCTGTTTCCAATGTCGTCTGGGGCGACCCATCTCTGAGAAGGACATCGTGCTTGGTAAAGCAGAGGGGCAGCGAAAAAGAGGAAGACCCTGGCCGAGATGGGCTGACCCAGTGCAGCAACGCTGGGCTCCGGCGTAAGAACCACTGTGAGCCGCTATCCAGGCACAGGCCCATGACTGTGACCATGGGTGCAGAGAACATGCACAGAGGAATGTTAAAAAAGAGCAAGGAATGTAAATGTGGGATTTCCACAGTGGGCGGCTGCCCAGCCACGCCCTGGGGAGAGAACCCGGATGACAAGCGCCCTTTGAACAACTGGTTCACTGAACGCAACCGAAAATCAGCAGGTATCGGTTCTGCCGATCCAGTGCAAACCAGCTGAATCCCAGCACTCAAGGTGAGGATAGCGCAGGACAGGGCGATGCTCAATTCTGGAGCATATGAGGTCACTATGAGTCGGAAGAGACCCCACAGCACCTAATAACAGCCGCAAGAATGGGTTGGCATCCATCCCTAGGTGGTTCAGTGACATGCCTGACTACTAGCTGAAGGCTAGGTGTTCAAACCCACTCAAAGGTGCCTCAGCACTGCCTCCAAAGCCAATATGGGGCCCAGCTCTCTAGTGAGACTTGGGGTCACCACGCATCAGCATCCACTGGATGCTAACTAGCAGTATGAATGGTCTAAACTAGCAGTTCTCAACCTGTGCTTGGGGGGGTTCGAACAACCCTTTCACAGGGGTCGCCTAAGACCATCAGAAAACACATCTACCGATGGTCTTATGAACTGAAACACTGCTCCTCTATCCGACTCCAGGAGGGTCCACCCACATGCAGAGAAGCTGATCTGGTGAGAAAGAAGCTATCTCAACCTTCGCACCGACGTCGGCTTTTTACGCATACTGTCGCAAAACATAGCAATGCAGTTTACTGTTGTTATATTAAGATTGCTACCCATGCTACACCATGCTTCAAGACACAAGTTCATTTATGTGTCATTAGAAATAAATATTTCACAAGATATAATTACATACTGTTTTTGTGATTCATCACTATGCTTTTAAGATGTTCCATTTGTCGCAATGAAAATACATCCTGCCTATCAGCTATTTACATGACGACTCATCACAGTAGCAAAATGACAGTGATGAAGTAGCAACGAAAATAATTTTATGCTTGGGGTCACCACAACATGAGGCACTGTATGAAAGGGTCGAGGCATTAGGAAGGTCGAGAACCACTGGCTTAAACAGCACTTTACACAATGCTTTCTACAGACCGAACTCTTCCCATTGGTATGGGACCACAATGAGCCATTTCTCAAGCCTTTTTGCTCTCTTTGGAGCCCAGGGAGTACCTCACTGTGCCCGAATTCCCTGTGCTCTACTCCCCAGCTGCATCCATAGGAACAGCAAAGGCACGGACAGCACCCTTCTGAACATCACCACCCTCTTAAGGTGTTCGCGGCCACGAAGCAGGCACTTTCCCACAGTGCCCCTGTTGGCACATCTCTGTGTGGCTCCTACTTCTCGGCTTCTGGAGTACACCTGGCACAGCCTCGGGTTCAGAGGAACACAGGTGTCCTCGAACGTTCGAAAACACGAGCTGTCAGTTTGGATACCAGCACCACACAAGCCCAGGGTCCACTCGGAACACTGGATGCATTTTCTACATTTTGACTCCCGAGTGACAAAGACGCGAAGCCCTTGCTGCTGAGGATCACAGACTATGACCTTCGAGATGGAGCGCACTTGAACATGAAGTGAACGGACAGCCGCACAGAGGGACCGATGCGCGATCTCACAAGAAGCAGAGACGAGACACACGCTGTCACACGTTTTTCCCGGTTGGATGGCCATCGTTCTTTGGGTCATTTAGTCCCCCATGCTCTTTAGTCGTGTGACCATTTCTTTTAAAAAAATCATTTTATTGGGGGCTCTTACAGCACGTATCACAATCCATCCATCCATTGTGTCAAGCACATTTGTACATTTGTTACCATCATCCTTTTCAAAACATTTCCTTTCTGCTTGAGCCCTTGACATCAGCTCATTTTTTTCTCCTCCCTCCTTCATGAACCCTTGATAATTTAGAAATTATGATTTTTCTCATGGCTTACACCAACCGCTGTCTCCCTTCACCCACTTTCTGTTGTTCATTCCCCTGGGGGGGTATTATATGCCGATCATTGGGATCGGTTCCCCCTTTCTCCTACCTGCCTTCCCCCTATCCTCCTGGTACTGCTACTCTCATGATCAGCCCTGAGAGATTTATCTGTTCTGGATTCCCTGTGTTTCCAGTTCTGATCTGTATCAGTGTACATGCTCTAGCCTAGCCGGATTTGTAAGGTAGAATTGGGGTCATGATAGTGAGGGGAGGAAGCATTAAAGAACTAGAGGAATGCTGTATGTTTCGTCAGTGCTATACCACACCCTGACTGGCTCATCTCTTCCTTGTGACCCTTCTGTGAGGGGATGGTGTGACCATTTCTTGGGGAGACTTGGGTACAAATTCCAATCCCACCCCTCCTAACAAACTTGGACTTACCCATGATCCCAAAACTGACCGTGGTTCAGGCAACAGCTCCTCTGTGACACATGGGGTCTCCATGAGTCAAAGTCAACATGATGGCAATTACAAGAACCACCTCCGCCCCCCCCACCTGCGTGACTTTAGCTAACTTCCCTATCCTTTCTGAGTCTCCGTTTCCTCGTGAGGGCCCACCCCTCCGGGTTGTTCTGCGAATAAAGAGAGGCAGGCATTGAATCCTGGCTCCAGGGACACAGAAGCACTCCAGACCAGCTCTCCCTTTAAGGCTGCCTCTGGACTCCCAGAAGGCAGAGCACGTGATGAGTCTTTGGAAAACTCCATTAAAAAAAAAAAAAAAAGGTTACAAAATCGTTTGGGAGCCGAGATGGGAAAGCTGCATCTCTCTCTAGGCTTCACATCTCTGAAATAGCTCCTTTACTGACACAACCCCATAAAGAAAGCAGCGTCGCACAGCAATAAAAGCTAATGGAAGGAATAGCCCAGATCCAGCGCCGCATCTCATTCCACACACATCTCAGCTCGCTGTGTTTTCCTCCGCACGCAGATCTAGGACCTCCCAAAGCCCCAATAGAGAAACACCAGAAGAAATTAGCTGACAGTGTGTCAACATGCCAGCCCTGGAGAGGGTTTCATCCGAGAGGCTGAGCCCACGGCTTCCTAACTCGGTCTGCTTTCAGCCACGGACAGCCCTGCTTGAACCGGGCCTGGTTCCATAAACAGCCACCAAGAAGGGCTAAAACGGATCCCACAAGATCCCTTTGCATCTGCACCCTCGGCTAAGCCCACGTGTCCCTGTGACAAACCCAACCCTCTCCCGGGGGGCTATGAGGCAGGGTCGCCCAGTAGGCTGCATCGATGGATGGTGTGTCTCAGCACGGAGGCAAGGCGAGCATCCTTAGGGGTGCACTACCATGTGGCGCCAGACCTCTAGCACCAGTGTCTGTCCCCACAACTCCTCACTTGCCTGGAGTGAGTGTTTACCAGTGGCCAACAAGTCCTCTCCAGCGGCCTCGTGTGTCAGAACGGGACTGTGTGCCACGGGGTGCTTTTTTTTTTGCTGTGGACATTACAGACCGCCAGGCCTTTCTTCCACGGTGCAGCCAAGTGGGCTTGAACCACCAGCCTTGAGGTCAATTGCTGAGGGAACCCCTGGGTACCCGTCGTCCTATCCTTTACTGAGGGGAGCGTTTGCAACGGAACTGTGCTGATGACTGGATGGAAGGCTCCCCTGAGCTATAAACCATCATGCCCATTATCAGAGGAGGAAACTGAGCCCCTGGTGAGATGAAGTAAAAGA